GGGTGTGCGGGCAGAAGGGTGCAACAATGAATGAATGGAATTCCAAAATCTCTGTAGATGTTCACTGAAATGAAAAATAAACAAACTAAGTTAATAAAAAAAAAAAGAAGAAGCTGTCCTGACTGAAGGCTCTCTTATATTCTATTTCATACCTGACTTATAACATGTTAACTTCCGTAATAGACCCAATAATCGTGATTATGGCCTAGACCAAATAATCGTGATTATGGCCTGTGATTTCTGTGTGGCTACAAGAGATTAAAGGATGCAGTAATAGCGTAATGAGAGCCTGAGAGGGACAGTTAGTAATAGAATTGATAGAAGTGGGTGCAGGAGAAACATGGAGGCATGTCTGACTTCAGAGAAATCAGTTTTGTGCTATTGATGTGGATGGAGACGGTGTCCCCTTGTGGAGATATTGGAGGTCAGACAATGCCACCTCCAGGTTTCCACATCCCTTCAGTCCTCAGCCCTGACCTCACCTTAATAAGGAAGTCCCCCAACTGTAATCCACTTAATATTTCACACATAATCTTCAAACATTCTGCATCAGGGATCATAGGGTCAAAGTGACCAGCAATGTCAAAATCCTGTATCAAAAAAACAAGGGGAGAAAATGTCTACTTAGCAGTAAATTCCCAAGGTGTGGCCTCTAGAATTATTAACTGTACTTACACACTGGCAGAACTCCCTATAACGGCCTTGAAGGATGGTGGGGCTCTCCCGCCGCCACACTTTTCCAACATGATATCGCTTCATCTTCTTTACTTTATTCATAGCCAGATAGCGAGCAAAGGGTACCTCACATAAATAGGTTAAGGAGGAATGAAAAAAGTTTAGACCCTGTGCACAAACACTGGGGAGGATTGAGCCTTTCTCAATCGGACTTCATGCACTAGAATGAGAATAGGCCCTTCTCTGTCTTACTTCCCACAATCTGCAAGCTTTAGTGGTGTCTGGCATTCAGTGTGTATTGAATAGTTAGTGGCCTAATGGCAAGAAACTGTGCTGCAATCTTGAAGGCACGTGGTTCGAATCCACCAACTGCTCCTTGAGAGAAGGATAGGCAATTTCCTATGTTGGGATTAAATGCCTCTGAAAACCCACCAAAAGGGTCAGCTATGGGTTAGTTCCAACTCAATAATACACAACAAAAACAAAGAACTCTTAAGGGAACTCTGGTGGCCTAGTGGTAAGAAGCAGCGCTACAATCCCAAAAGCATGTGACTGGAATCCACTAGCTGCTCTGTGGGAGGACAGGAAATCTTCTCCCACGTGATTAACTGCCTCTGAAAACCTCCTGGGTCTCCTATGGGTTAGTTCCCACTCAAAAGCACACAATAACAAAAGGACTCTAATGTGGCCTAGTGGTAAAGAGTAACATTGTAATCCCAAAGGAACACGGTTTAGATCCACTAGCTGCTCTCCGGGAAGAGGATGGATAATCTCTTCCCATGCAAGTAACTGCCTCTGGAAATCTGCTGGAAGGTCAGCTATGGGTCATTTCTGACTTAATGACACACAACAACAAATGACTCTAACCTAATCAAACTGAAAGTTTAACAGAAAGTAGGGAAAGCAGCAATAAAAATGACTGAAGAACTTAAAATTTAGACCACTACTTCCATTTAGATCAATTCTCTACCTTCTCAGAATAGTAAGCTTCAGAATCTGGATTTGCCCACAACTTTTCAAACACTGCTCTTTAAGAGGATAATCTCTCAGGGAGCTCTAGTGGCCTAGTGGCAAGAAGCTGCACTGCAATCCCAGAGGTGCGCAGTTCAAATCCGCTCTGCTGGAGAAGAGACAATCTCCTCCTGTACCTGTCAGATCCTCTTTGACAGTACACACAAAATAATAAAATAAAATAAAACTTTAAAAAAGAGTATAATCTCTCAAAACAACTATGAGATTATCATCTTGCCCCAGTAAGAATAGCAAAATTTAACAAAAAAGCAAACAACAAATGCTGACAAGCTGCAAAAAAACTGGAACCTTTGTGCAACCACTATGGAAGGTAGAATGGCGCTTTTTCAAAAAGTTGCAAATAGAAATATCATTTGACTCAGCAATTACACTACTGGGAATATACCCTAAAGAAACATAATGGCCACCTAAACAGATATATGCACACCCATGTTTATTGCTGTTTTATTCCCAATAGTAAAGAGCTGGAAACAACTCAAGTGCCCATCAACAAATGAAGAATGGATAGAGAAGCTCTGGTGTATTCACACAATGGAATACTATGAAGCATTGAAAAACAAGAAACTCATGAAATAGTATACAAAATGGGTGACCCTGGAGGACATTATGCTGAGTGAACTACCTCAGTCACTAAAGGAAAATATTGCATAGGGCCACTGTTGTAAAACGGGACTGACATCAGGGTTGAGGGAAGACAAGAAGGAGGGGATGAATGATGAATATTGCATTAAAACAGATAAGGAAGAGAACTGTTTTCAAGGGATATATGATTGGGATTATTGTCATGTCAGGAGTCCAGAATGAAGGCTGCACAGTGGAGTGGACTTAGGGGGAGGGATTGCATAATGAAAGAGTTTTTCTTTTACTTTTCAAGGAAAAGAGTGAATTGGGGGGGGGGGAGTTGGGGTGGGCAGGGAGAAAAGTGCAACAATGATTGAACAGAAACCCTCAGTCTCTGTAAAGTTTCATTAAAATTAAGTAAAAAAAGAGAGAGAGTATAATCTCAGGACCACCTGCATCTTAATTACACAAAATACCTATTTAAAATGCAGATGGCTGTTATAAAACGGGACTGACATGGGGGTTGGGGGACACTAAGAAAAAGAGGGGATAAATAATGTACACTGCATTGAAAAAGATGAAAGAATGGCTTAAAAGGAATAGATGATTAGGTATTATCTGTATGACAACAGTCCAAAACAACAGCTGCATAGTAAAGTGGACTGGGGGCAGCAGGGCGGGTGGGGCTGTACAACAATAAAAGAATTTTTTTTTTCAAAGAGAAAAGCAAACTAGGGGGTGGACAGGGAAGAAAATGGGCAACAATGAATGGAAATCTTAGTTCTCTATAAAATTTCATTAAAATCTCAATTTAAAAATAATAAATAAAATGCAGATGGCTGAGCAAGCATACCCCAACTATAGAATTAAGCCTGAGGCTGAAGGCCAATAATTTGTGTTTCTAAGTTTCTCCAAGAGATTCTGATACACATAAATTAATTGATAGTGCTCCAGGTCAGGCTCTGCTGGCAGAAGTACCTTCTGGAAGAAACTGGTAGTTAAGATCCCCAAATGGACCTACAGGGTCTCAAAGACATGTTTTTCCTTTTTGCTATAAAGTCCTCTGGGAAAGATATATATTTGACTCTGGTACTCAGAAGGATACAGTAAGGTCATAGCGAAGAGACAAGAGTTCTCCACCTTGATCTTTCAGATCATAAATTAGTCCAGATTCCTCTCCATACTTCTCAGTAAGCATTTCCTGCAGTGGTCAAAAATAAAGACAAACCACAGTTCAAAGTCCTCCAGAACACATGTAGAAGTCTTTTGAAACTGTGAAGAAATGAAGATCTCCTTACCTTCAACTCAAATGCTGGAGTATCTAACCCCTTTGCTCCATGCCGTTTAAAGCAGCTGACTACTTTATCAAGAATTTTCTCCCGTATAACCATCTGCTGGGGACTAAGATCCCTGGTGCCCTAGGAACCAAAAGTGGGGAGAAGGAAAAGTAAACTTAAAGCAAAGACTTAAAATTACAGTTATAAGCTAAGGTTTGAAGATGAAATCTCTCGAGTTTAGGTGACCCTGAACCTTAGGCAGTATTTCAGGAATAAGACAGAATTTCTTTTTAAAATGTTTAATGTTTTAAAAGGACAACAAGAGGAGTAAAGAGAGAAACAGAGAAAAGGGCTGTCCTCCAAAGTATAATTATGATACAGAGTGAGGTGAAGGGCATTACCTTTGGAGTCTTGAGAATAAAATTTGATTTCTCTTGATCTGGTTTCAGTTGAGACGTTAACACTGCCTCTGCAACCTGGCAGAAGGAATGTAAGATGTGGATCGCAAAAAAAAAAAAAGATGTGGATCGCACTGGTTACTGGCCAGACTGTGATATCGTTGACCCAGCAGACCATCAACCTGTAAATACCATTGGGCCTAAGGAGAAGGAAGCCTGAGCACCATCTAACTACCCCAATCTCTGATAGCTTAGTGGTAAGAAGCTGTGATGTAATCTCAAAGACACGCAATTCAAATCATCTGTGGAAGAAAGATGGAGAATCTCCTCCCAGGCAATTAATTTACTGCCACTGAAAACCCACTGGAGGGTCAGCTATGGGTCAGTTCCAACTTGCCAGTACATATCAACAACAATCTCTGCCTTCATCTCCAAAAATACTTGTTGTATTTGCAATATACATATAATATACATTAGACCAAGTCTTCACCATATGAATGAATTTTCAATGTATGTAGAGCTTAAAACATCTGAAAAGATTTAAGCACCTAAAAATAATGAAGGCACAGAATTCACCACCTCTACCTACAATCATCTAGACCTAGGGATTACTATAATCTTCCTTAGTTCCCCATTCTTAATCAAATGGCAAAAATAAAATTTTTTAATAGGTAACTAACTCAGGTCATCAAACTTGTTGTTGTTATGTGCCATCAAGTAATTTGCGACTCATAGCGCCCCTATGTACAACAGCCCTAAACCCTGCCCTGCTTGCTGAAACTGAAGAGG